GGGCCACAGGAAGCTTCTGTCTGGTCAGTTGATAGCAAAAGTCTTGGGTTGGAGAACCACATAATGACACAGTTGTTCTTTATGAAGAAATTTCACATCTGAGGATGTGATGCAATGACATACCAAGACATGTGAGTCTTAGTAAATGACACAAGTATGAAACAGCATGCAAAGCTTGTGCAAAAGCCTTCTGCAGGAAAGAGAAAACCAACATTTATTGCTTCAGGAACTCCACGTTTTATCAGCCAGGGACCTCAGCCACAATAGACTATAACTTTGGCTGACAATAAATATTCTAAGTGCTATTTAGAGCTCATAGATTCTCCAAGAGGTGGGAAAAAAACAGGTTTGGAAGTCACCTAGACAAGAACAACCACCTCAGTTACTCCACCGACTGGCGAGGTAGAAGAGCTTTGCTTGCTTTCTGAACGTTGGGCTATCAGTGCTAGAACATAGCCATGCCTGTTTCTGGGAACAGAAGGAACCAAAGTCAATGGCAGGTGATGGATGAGTCCTAGTGCTTAATTTCTTGCTCCACCAGTCTCAAATTCATTCCATATACTGTCTGATGTGTAATGCCTAATATAAGTAAATATTTAGAACAAAGTCAGTTTCTCTGTCTTTCACATGGAAGTGATAATAGCATCTACTGTCCCGGTTAGCTTAAATGTCAATTTGATACAACCAGAGTCCTCACTTGAGTTGTCTACATCAGATAGGCCTGTGGGTGTGTTTATGAGGGATTATTTTGATTGTTCACTGATGTAGGAGGGCTGGCTTACCGCAAGGTAGGTGGCGCTGTTCCCTAAGTGGGTGGTCCTGAACTGTATAAGAAAGCTAACCTGTCTATGAGCCAACAAGTAACATCCTCCAGGGTTCCTGCCACAGTTCTTTGACTGTGAAGTGAGTTCCTTGTTGGAGGGAATGTTGTGTGGAACAGGAAGCAGACCTGCCTTCAAGTTCCTGCCTTGATCCGCCTCAGTGGTGCCCTATGACCTGGAGTTACAAGCTAAAATAAACCTTTCCTCCCCTAAGTTGCTTTTGGCCAGAGTATTTTATCACAGCATCAGAAATGAGAGTAGACACCTACCTTCTATGCTCTTTGGGGTGTTCAGCAAGAAGATATGTGCAAAACTCATACAAGAGAGCTAAACATAAATGAAAATCTCAATCAATGCTGCTTTTTAGAAAGATGTCAGAGGTTTTTTTATTCTGAAGAAAATTACTTGACAAGCAAACTTGGATTGGAGGCTGAGACCGTGACACCTTGGGGATAGTGCTAAATGAGTAAATGGCCCTCTTCCCTACCAGAAGGACCAACTATACTCTTTCACCAGCTTTGAATCACGCTAAGTGGCTAATCTTTTCCCACGGAAGGAGAGATGGGTGAGATATCCTCTGAGGACCTTTCCCCAAGAGCTGTCTCCATGCCAAGGGAGATCCCTTCCCAATCCATCCTACATTTGACCACAGCAGCAGACCCTTTCTGCCCCCACATCTAAGAATTTACATCTCTTCTTTTCGTTCCTGAAGCCAGTGAAGAGTTCAGCAGCCTCCCTTGGTGTTCCAGTCCCTGCTCTCCTGACCAGGGCTGATCATTCTGGCACTAGTGAAGGTGTGCAGCTCATCTTGATGGAATGAGAAGTCCCCTTTTTTTTTTCTTGAGCAGCAAGAAGGGTAATTAGGACCATTGGTGAAAACGGGGAAGCCCGTGGCCCTGCCTGTCTTTGTGGCTGACTCATGCCACAGAGTCTCAATCTTCCTTGACCCATCATTGCGCTTCCTCAGAGCTTTCTCTAACCTCTCAGCACACAGTGTTCTCTGGCTGACACACGTTTGCCTAGCAGGAAAATACAGTGTTTAAGTGAGACCTTGGACTTGGAGTCCGCTGTGCCTGTTACGGGTGTGTGATTTTGGCCGATGTCCTTAACTTACCTGATCTTTGGTGTCCTTAAACACAGCATGATGTACATTGCTGGCCATAAGGACTGCAAAACGACTGTTTTGTTGTTTTTTCTATTTTATAGACTTGCTTTAAAATTTTTATTGAATTTTTGCAAATTTCATACAATATATTTTGATCATATTTAGTCCCTCTCATATATCTGCCCCCTCTTATACATCCCCACCATATTTTATGTACTCTGTCATACATATTAAGGTCTATC